TCCTCCTCCTCCTCCCTCCTCCTTCTCCCTCCTCCTCCTCTTCTTCTTCTCCTTCTTGGCATCATAATTGTTGCTTATCTACTATATCTGATGACGTTTTTCCGTAATCTTCTATCTGGGACTTCGGAATTCATGAAGGCACAGAAAAAAAAAAGCCCAACAGATTTAATGCACCAGTACCAAGCTTCGCATGGCGCTGTTGATTCGCTTTCCCTGTCCATTGTGGACCTCATATCTTCCCATAAGTGAAGGAAATAAAAAGATAAGAAGCAATTTGTGGCGAGAGAGAAGGCTGGGTTGTAAGTGTCAGGGGTTTTTACAGATTTTCTTTTGTATCTGACTATTTGCAGTTAAAAATAACACACTAATTACTTCATTAAATGAGATAGACATTTTAAAAAATGAAAAAGTGCTTTAAAAAATTTCACTCTCAAGGTTCCACAAAGTCGCAAACTAAAACCCATTTTCTCTAAAATTAAAAATATACTAATAAAAAATACCCAGTTACAACAAAACAAGATAAGTGTACTGAAACAGATGAAGAATTTTAAGAATTATAAATTTAATTAGAACCTTTGGACCTTTAATCTGTCGCTGTAGTAGTAGTCGCACACAACCTTCTGTATTTATACCCCCCACCCACCCACACCCCCCGCCTTCTTTTTTCCCCAGGCGGCGGTACAGCCACCAAGAACTACGCTTCTGCCCTGGGCAAGTCCATCTTGTTCTACGACGCGCAGCGGTCTGGCAAACTTCCCGCCAACAATCCCATCAAATGGAGGGGAGATTCTGGTCTGAACGACTGTGTGGTCGGAGGATGGTATGATGGTAAGTGGGATGTCCTCATGCATACGGTCCCTCTCTCCCTGATCCTTCCTCCTTCTTGTTCTTGATCTCGTTCTTTGAATGGCAAATAGCTTCTATCTAATCTAAAGAGGCCTAGTGGATGGTTGGTGGGTGCTCTGGTGTGGTTTGCTCCTTTTTTCCTATCAAAGCTATCGTCGTTTTCTCTCATCCTGTTTTGTGTTTGACACTCTCTTGTAACACCTCTAATCTTCGGCACTTATACAAACTTATTGTGTTGCAAGTGCCGTAAAGCTCTTACTAAAGCAAAAGGTTCCCAAAAAAAGTGCTTGTGTAAGAAACATTACCAAGTTGTTGTGGTGATACAATCAGCCAAGAAGTTCATCTTCTTATATATAATATATATATATATCGTGTATGCATTCATTTCTCATCCTCACCACCTCTCTAACTCCGCATATTATGTAGGTGGCCTAGCTTTTCAAAAAATGAAAAGAGAACGTGACAAGGAAAAAGAAACAAAGAAAACAAATCTGACAACACAAAAACCGCAAATAAATACAGCCCTAACCCCAACCACCCATGACGTACTGATGACCCCCTGTGACCTCTGATGTACCACTTACCCACTGTAACCTTACCCCCCGCTCAACCTCCCCTGATGTACTGCTGACCTACTTTGACCCCTGACGTAGCACTGACTCCCTGTGACCCCCTGACATACAGCTGACCTCCTTTGACCCCCAGCCGGTGACCACGTCAAGTTCGGACTGCCCATGGCCTCCTCCACCACGCTCCTCCTGTGGTCCCTCTACTCCTTCAAGGACGGCTACGTCAAGGCGGGCCAGCTCAACAACATGTACGACATGATCAAGTGGCCGCTCGACTACTTCCTCAAAGCCTGGGACCCTCACAAGAAGGAGCTTGTTGTACAGGTGAGGAGGAGGAGGGGGAGAAGAAGCAACTGACTATGAGCAACTGTTGATGGGCACCTGTCTACAACTGACAATGAGCAAATGTGAGGTGTGCTGACAAAATGAGCTGCTTCTCGCATTCCACAGATGGAGATATTGGCAAAAAATCAACACTAGGGTCAAATTTGTAGATTTTCTATTGATGCCATATTCTCTACGTATAAAAAGTCTTCTACTATAGTAAAAACTTCACCTTTAAGAGTGGTTTACCTATTTCCATAGGGCTTGAATCCAAGAAGCTACTTATTTTGTAAGCACGATTCACAAATGTCTGTTTATGAGCAACTGTGTCGCTGTTGGAATAGACCGTCAGTCTGGTGGGTTTTACAACAACTGACGAAAAAACACAAAGTTGAATGCATGAGCCTGTTTAGGATAGGACAACGCTGATTCTCATCCAGCGAGTCTATGTACTGATTAAATATAAAAGGGACGGCTTGAAACATTACAGTAATTGTAGACCTTTTAACACCATCCGTACGTTGTGCTTTACTATTGTATCCACACGACGTGGAGAACCTGTGCCACCACTTTCCAAAGAGGAAATTTACTCGTTAGTCCGATCCGCACGCTTTGCATAGCAGTCTGTCAAAATGATTTTTTGAGAAATGCTGAAAGTTTCAAAAATATCTTCGTGCCAGAAGTATTCTAAAATGTGAAGAATACAACCCGGGGATACAAACTGACCCCAGGGCCTACGGATAGGGTTAAGCTCGCCAGGACAGAATTTAGATTATTTAAGAACGTATGCTTTAACTCTGATTATTGTAGCTAACCCGGGCTTAGATGGATACAACTTCCCAGAGATAATAATACTCCATGATAATTCAACACAGGGATTGAACTCATGTTTCTACGTTGGAAGATGAAGTGCTTAATTGCTATACCACTGACATTATTTCAGGCCCACCTAAAACTGAACATTGTTTATTCAGTAGGGATTTTCACATTACTCTGCTCAGTTACACCTAAATTTCCAACCCTGTCTTCAATTTTTACTTGACAAGTAAATACCGATTATTTCTTTGTAGGTCGGAGATCCCCAGGCAGACCACAATTTCTGGGGACGCCCTGAGGACATGACAATGGCACGGCCCTGCAAGACGGTGAGTGGGAGCCAGCATGGAAGTGACATCGCCGCGGAGACTGCTGCCTCCCTCGCGCTGGGCTCCATCACCTTCAAGGCAAAGGGAGGTAAGCCAGGGGGGAGATTCCAGCCGTGCTAGTCCGTCATAATGGCATTAGTGGTTGACCATCAATGATTTATTGATAGAGGCACCAGCCATCCATGTCCAGGTGCTGTTTTAGCCTGGGGGTAGTGGTATGTGTTTAGAGAGTGTGTTTCAACATTGCGGAAAATGTAGCAAACAAGAAAAATTATCCCATTACAAAGTCCCTATCCTATAGTAATACAGTAGAACATGACTATAGCTGCACCCGCTACAGCGGGACCTTACCGGAATCCCCTTTTTTTGTCTATGTAAGCTCAATTATCTGTGCTCGGGTTTAACGGGACAAGGAAAGGCCTGAACTCGATACAGCGGGTGAGATCGAGCGAGCTCTAGCGAGAGTGTGCAGTGTGTGATTCCTGATTCATTGAATGTCTTTTTGTCTGCTGAAAACTTGCTGTCTAGGCTCAGTACAGTTTAACCGGTTGCCTGAGAAAATTACCACGAAGAAGACCAAGATTTTGCCCAAAGCCGATCAAACGTTTCCCTCATCCTTCTTTGAGAATTTGACAACTTCTCGTAGCTCAGTGTTGAACCTCTGAAGGTGACAGACAAAATATTATTATTATTATTATATGGGAAGCAGTGTAGTGAAATCAGGCGCTCGTCAAAATAACGAAATCTGAAAAACTGGCATTTTTCCGCAGTTTGGACATTTTAATCAAATTCTTATTTTTTGGCTTAACCTCTTTATTGTCCCTTTAAAAACACATTTCCTTGTGAATTTTGCTAAAAAAAACATTGATTAAAGGCACAAAATATGTAATTTTTCAGTTTTTAAAGACTCTTTAGCTATTGGAGTCACCAAACTTTGGGGGCCGTTTTCTCAATTTATTTCACCATTGAAGCCAGGTGACCTCACTTCCCACCATTGCAGATATCTTGAGGTCTAGCCAAGATAAATGGATATTTATTTCATTGGCAAGTCAAACAAATCAGTTTTGAGATGATATCATTAACTCCTCAGGCTCAACAATCGGTAGCGCCTGATTCCACACGTCGTCACACACACACGCACAATTGTATACATGTATAATTTTTATTACTGTTCACATTATTCTTCTTCTTATTTTTATTATAATATTAATATTTATTGTTATTATTATAGGCCTTACATTATTATCATTATTAGGACTATCATTATTGATATTATTATCTTTGTCATTATTAGGACTACAATTATAAATCTTATGGTGCACCCTTCCTTGTGGCCTCTTCCCCCAGACAAAGCCTACGCCTCCCGCCTGCTGACGGCTGCTGAAAGTCTTTACGCCTTCGCAAAGAGCAACAGGGGAGTCTTCACTGGGGCTGCAGGATTCTACTCGTCAGTTGAATATTTGTTGTTGTTGTAGTTGTTGTTATTGGTGGTGGTGGTGGTGGTTTTTAAATGTTAAGGCTCCTTTTAGTTTTAGCCAATATGCTTTCCCTGTGTTTTACAACGTTGCTGTTTCTATACACCACATAGATTAATTTTTTCTACAACTGAATAAACAAAATGACACTGATTCTTGGTTCAGCATCTGATCAGCATTCCTCCCCGTCAGTACATTTGACAATACTGTTTTTTCATCAAAGGGATGTAAACGATAAATTATGCATTTTTATTACAGTCATTTTGGATTTTGTCCCTTGGAATTCCAAAATATGTTTTTTTTTTTTTTTATAACACTCTTATCTGGACAAACTAAGATTTCTTTTAAAGCTAAAGCACTACCTTTTTTTTTGAGGATTTGTGAAAAAACAGGTCCAGTCCAACTCTAACATTTAGGGATTGTTTTTTTCTTTATCCGACATTATCTCAGCAAAGTGTAAAATAAACATAATTGAAGAGATGGTGAAATGTTCAACGTAAATGTTCTTTTCTAACATGTTTCTTGGGGTAGATAATTTTTACTTAACATTTGTACCAAATTAGAACTTGTGTTTTTGTTTTTAAATATTTCTTTTCCTGGATGATTTCCATTTCTAATAGTTGTGTAAACCAGCTAGGCGATGATTGAGAGAGAGAGACAGCCAAAAACAGAGGTATCGACAGAAATATATACGGACACATAGAGAGACATACAAGGGGCAAGTTAAGCACATTAGAGATCCCTTGGTGGTTAAAAATCGATAAGAGTAGGTAGGCTTCGGCCGCCACCCGGGCAAAATTCAAAATTTCCCGCCAACTGAAAATATTTCATGTGTCCAGCGCACCCATATGACTTTATGCAGTTGCGAATGCCCTAAAACACTTAACCCTTCCAAAAAAAAAAAAAGAAAGACCTACGGGGACAGTCACAGAAAGGAAGATTTATTTCACCACTCGGTCGGCTTGGTGTCTGTCCAGGTCAAGTGCCGACAAGGACGAGATGTGCGAGGCGAGCATGTGGCTGTACCGCGCCACCCACAACAACCAGTACCTCAACGACGCCAAAACCTTCGTGGAGTCAGCCTGGGCCTGGGCGTTGGGCTGGGATGACAAGAAGGTTGCCTGCCAGGTAACTCATTTAGACAACGGTATTTACGAGTACCTACACCCCCCCCACAGTCAGGTAACTCATTCAGATAACGG